CTGAAAGTTAAGATGCAAAACAACAACAACAAAAATTGCACATGTTTTTTCTGTTTTCTCTCTCGAGTGAAATGTCTTTAATAATGTGAGCTTCCTGATGTTTGTTGTTCCAGCGGTGTGGCCTTTGGCATAAGCCCTATGGGGTTTCTGTCCAATCTTATTTTATTGATGTATTCTGAGTTTCTATTTCGATTTGTGAAAAATAAATAAATAAATATAAAAAATATAAAGAAATAGGAATGTGAAGGGGTAGGAAAAAATAACTTACTTCTTCATACCCGTGTTAAGACAAAAACGCATAAAGCCATTATATATGTCATTAATCCTAATGTTTGCATTTTTTCCTGGTTTGTCTGAAATAAAGTTATTTATTATTCATTATGCTAAAAGTCTATGATAAGTGTATGTTGGCTGGCACCTTGCCTTACACTGATACCCACTAAAATTTAATTGATATACATTGAACACAAAAACTTGGTCTTTGTATTTGCACAGGAAACTAAAATGGTTAAAAAAATGTATGAATGGTAAAGAATAACCTTCAATTTTATAAACATTAACAATAACAGATTTTCTTAGATTTATTAGATTATTCATACTGAGAGTGACAGTTGCTCTTCATCTCTCTTCATCTTCATCTAAGGGCAGCTAGGGATACAGTGCAGATTATCACCACCAGCATGTGATTGATTGAAGGAAATGTGAAGCACTTTGGAGTCCTTGGAGTTCATAATAATTATAAGATATTTACTGTTTTTAATTCCATAAAATTATCTCATGCTTTTATAGAACATAATTTTCTACACCAGTCATTAAACTAATTCATTTCTTTTAAATCTTTTTTTCCTTTGCCAGCTGAATACAGCCATACCAATTGCTCAGTTAAAATGATATATGAGGTAACTAATTCTTTAATCAAAGCTCTGCAGTTTCTCGTTCTTTTTCTTCTTGTAACACATTTTTATGATCTGAGACATAAAATAAAAAATCAATTTACTTGGCTTTACTCCAGCAAATACAACAGTTCTTATCAGTGAATTTGCTGATAATAATATTCTTATTTAGAAGCTGCTCTTAACTTTCTATAATCCTTCATTTTTATCATAATTTTTTAACTCCTGTGACTAAATTAACTGAAGATGAATCAATAATATGAATCCAATCACATCCCCCCTAAATTCTACCCTAAGGTACAATAAATCTCTATTATATCTCACTCTAATAAAGATAGGAAAACTACACATGGCATCTTTTAGACTTACTTCAGAAAGGAAAAATATAATTCAAAAGCCAAAGATCAGCAAACAGACATATAAACACTTGGAGGTACCTATCCATTATAAGTCAATCCTGCATTAGTTGTTTTTTTTTTTGAAAGGTTAGCAGTATAGTTTTTCAGAAATACATTATCTTGTAGAGATTCATAAAACAATGTAAAATGTATTGCAAACTACCAAGCTTGATGCTTTCTGCAAGGAATTACTTTAGGCTCAGCCAGTGTTATTTTTCTGCTGTTGAAAATAATGAAACGTGAACTCAAAGTATGGTCAGACAGTCCAAAAGGTGCTCATTATGGTGTTGTCAGCTCTAATATTGCATTATTTTATTCTACACTGCCACAATGATTTTATCTGTGTCGGCCACTGCTGCTGCCATGGTAATCTGCCTCGTTTCATTGCCTGCCTGCTGTGAAGAAGATGTACACTTTGTCCTCTGAAGCGGTTTGTTCCGCCCCGCTGCGATCTGTAACACAGGTTATTCATGCACGCTAACACGCAAAGCTCTGATATTTCTCTGGTGCGCAACATCAATTATTTCTCAATAAATGCTTGTTCCTATGGTCATATTTGCTTGTGGTTGGGACACATGTTTCCTTGTGACTAAAGCAAGGACAGATATTTGAATCTTTACTCTCAAACACAAAGACACACTTTCTGCAACAGAAAAGCAACAACTGTTTACATTGATCCATATGGATATTTTTTGACACCCTGTGTATTTATAGGCTTTATTTTGATGTAAACAAGGACTCAGTTACAGTCAAAATGTCTGACACTTTGATTCCATGTATGCAGCGCTCACTTAGCTGAACACACTCAGACACAGTGAGAGAGGCAGAAAGTTGTGCTCTAATGCACATAAAGGGTTTTCGATTTTGAACATGTAGGACACAAAAAAAAGAGGACAGGAACAAGACCTAGTTATATAACTGTCAGGTGTATGGATGTCTACATCCTTAGGGTACATTTAGCTTTGTTGGCGTCATCGCTGTTTTTCTATACTATTTAGAATGTAATTTTTTTGTTCAAGTAAATAACAGTGTTGATGAAATAGATGGAACAAAAAAGATAAGAGTTTGGTTTTGGAACATCTGCAAAAAACGTACAATTCACCGTGAGCAGGCCAGCTGACAGCTTTGCTAAGGCCCGGGACAACAAAAGTCTTTTTGCTGGCTCTGATGGGAATCATTCTTCTGCAATTCCATTCCTGGACCTGTTCCTGACTCATCCTCAGTTTATTTTTAATATTTATTCACAAAATTCATCAAGCCTTTAGTGTGATCTTCACTTTTTGTCTTTTTTTCTGTGCTCCTGACTTCTGAAAACCTGACATTCTTAGTTTGCAGCGAAACAAAGTTTAAAAGTTGCAGCCCGCCGTTGTCCTGGTGAAACCATTTTTATGTTGGGGGGGATTCTAATGGCCCTTTATTTAAAGAAATCATACGACATATACCTAATGCAGATACATTTACATATTTAGTTACTTAGTTAGTTAAATATTTAGTAACTTATATTTAGTTACAAAATATTTTTATCACAAATATTTTCAGAAAAATTACTTCTGCTTGTATTTTAAATGGTCAGAGTGTCAATTTTGGGTCCCCCTCTATCCTGGGCCTGGGACAATTGACCCCTTTGTCCACTCCTGTTGGCGGGTCTGACCGCGAGAGAAGTAAACCAACACAATCCAAAGTTTAATTGTTGTCATTGTTATTATATTTTGCCTGATTTAAACTGATGTTAAGTCCCATCCAAATAAATAATATTAGTTTCAACTTTCATAGATGAAAAGGCAGAAAAAAGTAATACACTAGTTAGCTAGGATTAAGTCATTTGTTAACAGTTGAAACTGTGTTTTCATTGCAAAACTTTTTTTGCTAGAAGGTTCTTTACTTTGCTTTCTTTCCCTTTTTTTTGTTTTGTTTTGTTGCTGCTTATCCATCAGGGTCCTGGTATCTCTCTCCAGCAGTCTATGCGTGAAAGGCATAGTACACCCTGGAAAGGGCGCAAGTCCATCATAGGCCAATAAATACAGACAACCATACCACAATTCACACCTAAGGGGAACTTAGACACTCCAGTTAACCTAACAGTCATGTCTTTGGACTGTGGGAGGAAGCTGGAGTACCAGGAGAGAACCTATGCATGTATAACAAGTGAGCTGTGCGTGGCGTTTCTGTTAACCAGAAGTAATACATTTGATTTACTTGTATTTGTTAAACAGCTCATGCTTTCCATTTCTGTACATAAAAGACACATAGCCACTGTTTTCTGCCTGTCTGTCATTAAATAAGACTAAACAATGCAATTTTATAGGTCAGTTAAACTTACCAGGGATTTTATGTTCTCTAAATGAATAAGTTTACAGCAATTTTAGTAGCGTCAGGTGAAAGAAGTTTAGAACTTTAGTTAGTCTATTTGGTAAGCTTTCCACATGCTTCCTAGAATAGTAAGATAGCAAGTAAACTTTATTTATGTAGCACCTCTCACAGTAAAAAAATGTACAAAGTGCTTTGCATAGTGCAAATTAAATCTATCTGTATATCTACATCTTTATTTTCTCTCTCGCTCTCAAAAAAAAAAAAAAAAAAAAAAAAAAAATATATATATATATATATAACTAGAACACAGTTTGCTGGGATAGTCCTCCTGGCAGAACTGGTTGAACCAAGTTAGGTTTGCAGGTTGCCTTATTAACTTAGACCTCTACAGTTCTTTCTATAAGACTGAGATCAGGACTCTGTGATGACAGTTTAACTGTAGTATAGCGTATGGCTCCCTTAACCCAGTCTTTATAGCTAAAGTTGAAGGTTGGTTGAGGTCCTTTTAGAAGACTCTTTTGTATCCAAACTTAAAGTTCCTGGTTGAGGTCTTGAGTTGTTGTATCAGTATATCCAGATAATGTTGTTTTTTCTTCCTGATGCCATTTATGTTTTTTAAATGCACCAGTTCGCCCTGCAGCTAATTGCCCCCACATCATGATGGTTCCGACTCTGTATGTCACAGTTGGGATTGAGGTCTCAGAATTAAAAGCATCCCCAGTGTTTCATTAAATATAATGACGATCATTATGTTCACCAGAGTTAGGCTTTGTCCTTGAATGCATATGCAAACTGTTGCTTGCCTTCTCATGTTGCTTTTGGAACAACCTTTCAGGCCAAGTTGCTGGAGGGCTTCTTTCATGCTGGATAGTAAAACACCTTTCCAACATTTTTTGTTTTATGTTCTGTTGGTGATGTTGTGCACATGTCACATCAAAACACTTTATCTCTGAGATACAGAACTTGTCTTTGTTTTAAAAGTTACTGTGGTCAGAAATATAATTGGTTTTTAAACTTGTATATGTCCCGGAACAGTCGGTGATAGAAATGAATGGTGTACATTCAGGAAACTGGAAGTTGTATCCAAGGATTAATCAGACTTTGAAGGTCAAACACTGTATTCCTGATGTCTTGACTGCTTGCTTTAATTTCTCATAACCTCATACATGTTTGAGCCATAGTAGTCTCTTAATGTAACTGATGTGTTGTATATTAAACTAGAGGAAGCTTATAAAATACTGTCATCATCTGGGGTTTTTCAAAAAGTTTAATGGCATAACAATCTAAACGTATGTAAACCTTTAAAATCCACAAAAACAATGATTAAACCTTTGTCATTATTCTGGTATTTAGCAAAATAGGACAGAAAAATGAACATTTTGATTAAGGATGTCAGAAAGTAAGAAAATAGGGTGTTGTGTCCTTTAATGAAGTAAGTAAACATCTGTTTCTGTTGACTCTTGCTGTAATAAAGTAAAATGGTTCAGTCTGAATCTGAAATAATCTACCAACAGAAGAAAAGAAAAGTCTCCACTGTCCTTGAACCACGAGGAAGACTGTCTCCCCAGTTTGGCCCCTCTCAGACAGGTGTGGTCCTTCTATTGGACACACAGTTTCCCGGCAACATGTCTGTGTTGTGAGTTGCGGTTGCTAAATCCTCCTCAGCCATGTCAATCTTGCTTTCCTTCAGAGGTGAGTTTAAGGCGTACAAAAGAAACTCTGATCCCATCATAGTGGCGACTTTAGATTCATTGGGGACGCTGGGATCCTGGTCACGTACCCCTGATGTTTGGTAGCCATGTGTGGTTGAGTCTGCCATGCTGTGGTTGCTCCTGTAGCTGTAGCGTCGGCTGCGGTTCTGGTAGTAGCGGTTGCGGTAAGATAAGTTTCGGGAGATGGGTGGCTTCATAAGCGAGGGCCGGCCTTTGGTGCGAAGCTGCCTGTGCTTTTCTATAAACACATGCACTGCCAGGACACCCACCATCTCAGCCAGCACAAACGACAGTGCCCCGAAGTAAAATGACCAGCCATAGGAGTAACTCTTCTTGTTGTCGCTCTGACTGGGGTCTCCTGAGTTGGCTGATATGTACACAATGATGCCAATTATGTTACTAAGACCTGTACAAGAGAACAGAACAATGGGTTAAATTTTTTAGCAATACAATTCTGAAAAAGAGTTCTCATTCACATTTACCGACCTTTACACTAATATAGCTCAATAAAATTTGATGCAAAGAATTGCTTCAAGGGGGTCACCTAATATACAAACAGGGTCTATTTCTATAACCTGAAGTTCAGGGATGTGGACAAGCTTAAAGCAGGATTGCTGCAGGCGGATCATCTGTTTATATGATGAAGGAGGGACAACAACAATTATTTAATGTAAATATCCTACTAAACATCTACTGGCGTTTAGCTGGTGCTAACCCTCTGAGGACTACAGCGTTTTCCTGTTTCCTGGTCTGGTTGATGAAGGTAAACTCTCATCCCTGTGTGCCTCTGTGCTATTTACAGACACATAATAGACTAAATAAATGCTGGATTAATCCTGGTTCATTTTTTCTTGGAAAACTAAAAACGAAACACAACAAAATAATAATTAAAAGCTTTTCGGACAGCAACCAGCTAGTCGGCATCATTAATGATGTTAATCCCCTCCGAAATTGAGGGAGAATAACTACATAGTTGTATCCAGCAGATAGCTATCCTATTTTACCCAACAGGTTAATAATCTATCATTAATTTGAACTATTTATTTAAGAGACCTTTCTGAAAAAAACGAGAGTGGGAAAAACTGGGTCACGGTATCCGATGCCTTCTCCTTCTCTCCTCTTTCTCCTTCCTTTCCGTTCCTTTTTGAACCCCAGACTTTGGGGCACTGCATTTTTTGTTGTTACCACACTGCTGTTTATTTACACATATTCTTGTTAATTAGTTTCTTTCGTTATCACTATTTAAATGATGTGCATGTTGCATTTAAGCCCCGGTACGAGCAAACTGCCGGTGACAGACTGGGAGACCTGATGCGATGCAGGACCAAACAATTTATTGCAATTTCACAGTGGGTGGTGGGTGTCAATATATTTATGATTTGTTTCACTGTTTACTGCTGAAAAATGGGAGAGAAAATGAAAATTATTTATTTTACTGCTGAATTTTCTTTTTATATTTGAAAAATATAGCGGGACAAATCTTTTCTTCTTCTTTTGCCCCCCCATTCAAGGGCCCTTAGAATTGTCCTAACTTTTCTCCCCAATACGGCGCCCCTGCGTCAGGGTCGTTGTTGGCCTGGCTATCCTCACTCCCTATCACCATGCAGGGGATCAAAACATCTGGCCTGTTTAGCCAAGCGAACAACGAACCTAACAATTCCTCTTTAGAGAGGCATGGACCAGTTTCGGGAATTTCAGGCCAACAGCGACCTCAACGACTCCCCATTACTAAGGGGTGGACCTGTTTTTAGTTACATTTGCATGTTTTCAAACCATAATAAGGCTCTTGTTGTGCTACCCTATAAAGCCTGGAACTCAACGCTACTCCAGACATTTGGAATTGAGAAAGCTTTCTGGATGGGAAGCGAAATGTCTTCCAACTTGGAAAACAAGCCCAGTGTTGTTTTTTTTACTTTTTGGGAATTAAAGCAGGATTTGGTTATGAAACAATCATTCTAACTTGGAATATCTACCAAAACATTCCTATTTATGAAATCTAACAGACGGAGAAAGGAGAGCTTTAATCAGGGAAGCAGACAAAACACCCAAACCTAGAAGATCTTAAGACATCCACAGCTAAGGTGGAGTCTAATTTTCTACCTATTTTAAATTTTTTGGTGTCTTTCACTTCTATATTTTGGTACGAGTTTTTTTCCTCTATTTTTTTTATCTTCTAATTGTATATTTTGATAAATTAAGGTTAGTTTAGAGTTTATGTTACATTTTATACTTTATTCTATTCTGCATCTCGTAATTTAGCTTTTCTTCTCTTTTTGAATTTCACTGAAGAATTCATCCAAAGTCATAGTTAAAGGCAGCCATTGTTAAAAGAAAGTCATGATGAGTTCGACTTAAATGTTTTCTGCAAGCCATACACAAATATAACCTTTTGCTCTGAATGCAAAACGGTATTTGTTGTGAAAAAACAACCACATCATCCCATTATGGAACATGATGGTGGCATCATTATGCTGTGGGAAAAATATTCTTAGGAGAGTTGCTAAGGGTCAATAGAGTTAAATACACAGCTGAAATAGAAACATAACTGTAACAGGTGGCAAAAACCTTGAGACTTGGGTAGAGATTCATCATCTGGCAGGACAAACATCCAACATCCAACTACAATAGACTGATTTGGATTGAATTATATTCATTTTTTACGATGGCCCAGCAAAAGCCCAGATCAAACTTGATCAAGAATCTGGAGCAAGACCTGAGCAAAGCATTAAATCAGTGACGATTCAGTGATTTCAGTGATTTCAGACAAGCACCACAGGTTTATATTTTCAGATCCAGCGTAATTTTCCCTTTGAAATGATACATTATCCTGACGTGGTCAAGCAAAAATTGTAATTACTTTAAAGGGATTTCATTTAAGTAAGTTTAATCAAAAGGGGGTAAAATACATATTTAGCTAATTGTTTTGTTCAAAGGAGCACCAAAACCAATAGAAGAACCTTAAAAGCAGCATAAAACATATATTTTCTTTTTAAATTTAACATCCAGCCAAGATGGCAGTTCATTAGCCTTAGCCTGGATTTTATTTCTATATACTTTTTTTTTTACTTAGTTTAAAATAAGCTAAGAAAAAAAACTGTGTTTCCCTGTGTGGTGTGTGTCTGACCTGCAGAGACAAACAGAATACCAGCGGTGAGAATGACATTGTAGCGGGACTTGTAGAACTCGCTTGCAGCGACACACAAACCCCCGAGAAAAAGTAGCCCCACACTGAGGATCGGGAAGAGGCTGGAGGCTCGGACTGCCCCTGAAGAGAGACGTTTGGGGGTATTGAAAGCATTTGAGTCAGCTATTTAAAGGTAAGATGGCACTGTTAGACATGCTAATCTGTTACTTACTTAGTAAATACTCTGCAGCATCCTGCTCATAGTCTGCATCATCAGGGAAGTGATCAATATCTTTACAAACACCTTGAAATATTCCTGAAAGACAAAGAAAAAAAATACTAGTTGTAACAAATAGATTCTCATATATGGTGGCTTAAGCTAACAGTTTTCCTGATCATAAGATGACCTCTTTTAATTTTTCCTATTTCTTATATTCAAAATTTACTGACACGCTTCTACTCTTTTAATCTAACACAGTTAAAGGAAGAAGAGGAAAGATGTGAGTGGAAAAGCTAACATCCACTCTGTCTTATCGTGGTGTGGATCAACATAGAAAGCAAAGCTCAGCTTAACACAAGCTTCCAGCTGTCACTGAGTCATGCTGTTCCTGTCAACATTTACACACACAGGAATATATTGACAAATCTGTCTCTAACTGCCATCTCGATCGATTAGAAGGTAAATTTACCCTTCCTGGTAACCAGAACACAGATAATGACAGTGGATACAATACAGCCGCAGAGAGAAGCTCAGACTCTGCACTGAACTTTTCATTTTACAACCTCAAACTTTTATGTATTTCATTGGGGATTTTTATTCATAAGCAACAAAGTGCATGTGTCATCATGTACTGTTTTAACCAAGAGGAAAATAGGCATCATTCAACTATTTAGGCATCACTAAAACTGGAGTTATAAAGCAGAGCTGGAACAAAACAAAAGCAAAAACATCACATATGACCATATAAAAAAATGCACAGCAACATTATAATTCTAAATGTTTGAATGCAAAGTAAATTGATTTTGCAGTGAATTACACTAAACAACACATCAAGCATCCCTAAAGCATGATGCTGCAAAAACAAAGTGGAGATAGTGAATTTTAACACTGTAGAAGTTCAAAGTTCAGAGTTTGTTTCATCTGATTCTTCCACATGTTTGCTGTTTCCTCCATGGCTTCAACAATACCTTTACTTTGACATGGTTTTCCTTAAATGGTTTGATGAATAATGGCTGTAAAGTAAAAAGATTCCCCCATTTGTTCTATAGATCTTAACAGCTCTAGAGCCACCTTGCTGCTCCTCTGTTTACTGTTCTCCTCTCCAGCGAGGCGGCTGCGTCTTTGCGGCTTCGCAGAGGTCAAAGTATTATTTTATATTTGATACTCATGAGACCACCAACTGAAAAGCTCTATCTGCCTGCTGTGTTTCTTTGTCTCCATGTTGCCAGTTGTTCACTAATGTCCTGTTACAAACTCTTGGGCCTTCACAGAAAAGCTGGATTTAAACAGAGAGTCACTTTTAACGATAGATGTATTATTAGAAATTAGAGGCTATTGGAAGTTGAACTTCAGAATTCTGTTTAGGGATATCAGAGTAGAGGGGGTTAAAAAAATATATTCTACAATTTTTTTGACTTTGTGAAAGATGCATATTAATAATTTTACCTCTACATCAATAAGCAGCAATATGAATTAATCTCCAATATAAAATTAGAATACAACCAATTAATTATTATTATTAGGGGAAAATGTTCAAGGGGTGTGGATACCTTGAAAGGTAGTTTATGTCTTCCTACTCAACTTCTAGAATAGCTAGTGTATCTTTCAGTATCTGGTTTATAAATGACTTTTTTCAAATTAAAATTGTTTTTTAACAGCAGCGTTTAAAGATGAAAATAATAACTAAGCTTATATGTAGGAAAGGTAGATATTTAACAACAAAGACAAGTAAAATCTTTAAAACATTTCATCTCAGCTACTGATTACTCTGCCTGTTTGTGGCTTTCATTGACTCACACTGACACACAAAAATACTCTCGCACACGATGTTGTAAAAAGCATTGACGTTCTTTACTAAAGAGTTGCCTCTCCATTAAACCACTTTGGAGCTGAGTGAGGGAGTAGCTGGACATAGCCTCAGAATAAAAGAGAGTGAGCATTTAATTTAGTCTGGAAGATTACTGGATCATTCAGTGGATGTTGGAGTATTGGAGGGGAAAGGCTGTTACCAAACATGAATAAATAATGAAAAATATGACTTCCATCAATTTTTGACCCACTATTAAATGTCTGTGCTGTTTTCTTCTGCAAGATGAATCCCGATAAATTATTCCATTCAATGAAAAATGAATAGATCAAAGATTGAATCTGGGATGCACTGCAGGGAAACACTTCAAATCATAAACTTCAAGTATGACTCATAATTCCTAAAAAAATATATTTTTTCCAGGGACATAAAGATTTGCAAACAAACAAGCGACCTTAAATCGATTTTAAACATTTATTTGCACTTTGGAAAAAAAAAGATTTTTATTACAGCTTTACTTTCACAATGAAATGTGGCATCAGGCTTTATGCTGCACTTTTTTAATGGAGAAAATGTTTTATTACTATTATTATAATTATTGTTGTTATTATACAATGCTCTGGCCATAATAAGCTCTTACTTAACTAATCTTTTTTTCACTATTGCGTTTTATTTATTTCTTTTGCACATTTACAAGCATAAATATTGTTTTTCATTTAAAAACTCCTTTGGCCACATTTAAAGGAAGACGACGGCTCAGGTATTCCCATTCTTTGTGAACTAACAGAAGGTCTGACGTAGGTTATAATAAAATGACTGTCACAAACACTTGCAGTTTAGAAAGCTTTTGTGTTAGAAAATTCTGCTACAAGAAAAACCAAGCAGAGGTTGTGCATTGTGGTAGATGGGATCCTCTGCATGCAGCTCTCAATAGATTAAACACATTATCAAACTCCAATTAAATAAATATAAAATGATAACTATTGTCTGTTGGGTCTACAGTCTAAGCCTAAATAAACCAGAATAATTACCCCCCCTACACACGTTATTGAATGTATTAAAATAGTAACAAAAAAAGTTTAAATCACTTCCATCGTAGAAAAAATTGGGTTGACTTTACTTTAAAAATATGCAAACTTGTTGCCTAAAATAAAAACTTTATAAATACATTTTTTTGAACTTTTAGTGCAAATTATACATACAGTCTGCACAACTTCTTAATAGTCGTAATACTGATTAGCTCTTTTTGGGGAGCCAGCCTTTAGAGCTTATTTGCTTGCATGGAGAATACAATAATTTCCCAAGCTACCTTTCTTGTTTCCTATTATATTATTTGATGTAAATCATGCAAATTTTCATTTGCAGTTTCATAAGGTTTATTATCCAGGACACTGAGACTCTGTATGTGAAAAAGCATTGATGCCTGAGCTTAACCCATTGTTCTACCTCTTAGAAAGTCATATATTCTATAACAGAGGAAGGAAACATTCCTCATATGCCATTATTCTGCAGCTTCTGCATGATTCCCTGCACCAACACACCTGCATCAAAAGGATAAATTATTTTCTCGATTTGCAAGCAAGTTTGGCATAGGGCTGGTGATTAACCTTTTATTTATTTTATTTTTTTGCATGCAGAAACTGCAGGACAGTAGTATCGGAGACCAACGTTACAAAACCCCTTTTCTATAGTATTAAATAGATCCCATTTAGATCGTCCAGTGAGATTACTTTAGTAATCTTATTTGGCATGTGCACATTATAGACTAACTTAATTTGGACTTTACTGTTGTAGATGCGTTTGTTGTTTACATCTTTTAACAGCTTTTTGTGTGTTTTCAATATTTTTCAGCAACAATCATTCAAATTAAATAATGTTAATAAAGTTTTGCGCCTATATTGAGTCCTACCCTCGGTGCAGCAGGTCCTCCAAAGCCCAGAGTGGGTCAGGACCTCCTCGTTTTTATGGACGGTCTCGTTGTCGTTCAGGTTCTTGGAGCGGCACATCCCACGGGAGTAAAGCCAGTAGTCTGTGCCCACTGCGATGGTCATGAGGCTGAACGCGCAGAAAGCCCCCGCCGTGGTGAGAAGCATCATCATCCCCCTGTTACAAACCCTCATGGTGGCTTTTTTCCCCCACTTCTTCAAACCGAGCAGCTTCACCTAAAGATGCACCATTTCAGGACTCAGAGACCGATTAGAACTGGTGCCAAATGTCTCATCTGTGCGTAACTCCAGTTGGATGAAGGACGCACGGGTTTGGAAAGCGTTGCCATTTGCAGGCAGCGCAAAACTCAGAAAGTTGGGTCCCCGGGTCTGATGGCAAAGAAGAGGAACAGATGTTGCTCTTGCTGAAGCGAAATGGAAAGTTGATAGAGGAAAGTCTGTCCTCAAATAACAGAACCGAGTGATAACCCCGCCTGCCAATGAGGGGGTGTGTGTGGGTGGGTGGGTGTGCTGCTGGGTCACAAAGTCCAGATGAGCTCTGCATCATGGAGAACAGCAAAGAAGAAGCAAATTAATACTGAAACAGTTTCTAAAGTTCTAAAATCAGTCCATCATATGCTGCAAACATTTGTTTCATTCTTGTTTAGATAGAAAAAGACAATTAGAAAAAGTTAGAAAATAAAAGAAAGAACATTCACACCTCTAGAAACTTTCCAAATTTTGTTTCATTATAGGGAATCCTAAAATTTGGTGTCTATTATTGGGACCATAGATGCATTTTAAAAATACAGACCTAAAAAAAGTGTGATTTGCATTAGAATCCACAATTAAGGCAGCTTAAATAATTTCCTTGGGAAGTAGTAGGAGTAGAAGAGAGTATCGTCTAACATATGTATTTCTACCTTTGAAAAAACTGTTTTGTGAAGGCCTCCTAGGTTCCTTAGAGCAATGATTCTCAAAATTAGGGTCAAGGATAAATTTGGTCTTGGGATCCTCTACAGAAATCAAACTAAACAAAAAAACTGATCATGATGAAGCACAATTATATTAAAGATATTAAAAACTCAATTAGAAATGGACAAAACCAAACACATAGGTTGTTGGTGCTGTTTTTATTTCTACTATACTTTTGTTGCTATGGTCAATAGTTTGTAGTTTTGTAGTTTGTGTTTTTTGTTGTTTACTTTTTGGAAATGCCAATAGTTTGGGCCATGACACCATGGTGGAAACGTTTTTCGTGTCAGAAGGCAAAACGTTAAGGAACCTCTGCATAAGAGCACATTAGTGTACAAACTACATCATCAGGATCAAGTCATACACTAGAGAGGTCAGGGAGAAAGTTGTTGAGATGTTCAAAGCAGAGTTTGGTTATAAAGCAACATCTGAAGCAAACAGGACGATTTATTTTTGTGAACTCGACAAATTCGTCCTTTATCAGAACAGTGTTTAAAAGAAAAAGAAAATACATTGGATGCAGGTTGCATAGGGGACAGAGGAATGCTAAAAGTATCTGGAAGAATGTGCTCTAGTTGGTTGAGATCAACATGTGAACACGTGTCCAACATACAAGTGTGGAGGAAAGAAGAGCATTTAGGAATGCACCATCCCCGTGCTAAAGAACAGTGCTGGCAGTACTATAGTGTGGAGATGTTCCTCATTTTCTACAGTTTTTCTCAATCTCAAATTTTCCACTGTCTTATTAAAGGTGTGCCTTGGATTGATGCTTTTCTATAACAAAGGTAGGAGAGCTTGTCAGGTATGATGAGCAACTGGCTGAAACTAATTAGCGAACTACGGCGGTTCAAAGAGAAACCTGGTGAGAGGCTCCGTAAAGACTTCACCTCAGGGTGGAGGTTTATCTTCCAGAAGGATGATCTAAACATGAAGCGAGAGCTTCGACACAATGGTTTGAATTATATTTCTGTTTTAGAATCAGTTATAGTTTAGACCCAAATCCAACTGAAAAAACGGGCAGAAAAAAACTAGCACAAGTCCTACCAACACTTAGGAGCAAGATGAGAGGGGGAAAAAAATCAACATTTTAGGAGAGTTATCCACTGTTTCTAATCCATTAGCCTGGTTTTCCCACTAAAATGTGATGTACAAATGCTGCTTTTAACAACAGGCGGTATTAATGAATATACTGGGAGGTTTTAATCAGATGTCAACTGGTCAGAATGGGAAACTTTCCCACTCACCTGTTTAAGACAGGGTTGGAAATGCCTGTATTTATACTATACCTGATTGCTTAAAGTCACACCAGAGAATCCCAACTTAGAATACATTTAAGGAGCCAACTCCAGCCAGTCTCTCTGTCAGCCAGTAATTTATTAGAAGAAATATGCTGATGAAAGAAGAGGAAGTCCTTTTATTATTATAATACAAAATAAATGTGTAACCTGCCTTTTATAGTTTGTTTCTCATGTGTGGTTTGATTAGTCAATGAGTTTGTAAACAAGTAAATAAAACAAAAGAAAATGTAATTTCATGAGGATTCCTTTTAATGCTTTTAATATTTGTCTCTTCAGATAAAGATGATGCATGCATCATATCTAAAGTGTCCTTTTATTTCTTCAGCTTGTCTTCTTTTCCTTTTGACCTTCTGCCTTTTGCATAGTAAATCTCTCCTCTTCCCCATAGGTTTTTAATCTCGTCGTGATCATTTCACTACCTTTCAATGTAAGTATGCCAGTGGGGAATGAGAAGGAAGGAACAAATATACAAAAATAAAGTGCATATGTAAAGCTAGAAGACAAAGAAGAGAAAGAGGGGAAAACAGGATTGCAAAATAACTCGGAATCATTGTAAAAAACAAAACAAAATGGACAGTGAAGAATAGTAGAGAAGTGTGAGATTACATGAAAAAAACACTCCTACTTCTATTTCTCCTTCATATTTACACATACATCAAAACAAGTCTTACAGAGGTATACGTCTAGTTTTGCAGTTAGTCTCCTATAAGTTCATTATCTCCATATAACCTTTGAAAAACATAAATTCAGCATTTAGGAGTAGAAACTAAAGCAGGATTTTAGCCCAAAGAGACAACTTGGATCAATACATTCAGGACAACTCACAGCGTCTTCACTTCAAATATGACAAAAAAATAAATAAAAATAGTATACAATATCAACAGATATGGCATGCATAGAGGAGCTCCACCACGAGGACTGTCAAAGCTTGTACATCACTAACCCACTGCAATACAAAGAGAATCATGAGGACATGTGAAAAAGAGAAGTTTTTCTTTTTTGCATCAACTTGGAAGACAAGACATGCTTAAGACTAAGTACAGGACTAGCTTAGACATGAAGTTATAAGTCCTAGTTCTGAATCTTGCCCTTCTCTGAAAGGCTGCCTGCACAAACATGCACAGACATGTTTGATTTATCAATGACTAAATGTTCATGACGTCATTCTCTGCAGCAGAGGAGAAGGAAATCAAGTAAATAAACACTTGCTTCATGATCGAAAGAACACAAAGCTACACGTTTGCAGTAAAATCTTGATCCTCTTATGGAAAAGGTCCTCTTAATGTTATCAACTGCTGCTGTTTCCTGGAGACAAGGCAGCCACCACCCTGGTAGATCATCATCTCAGGCCTTTTCTGCTCTTCATGTTTTAGAAGAAAAGTCATCTATATGATTACAACTTACTGCCAGTGCTTCTGAGGATCGGTTTGAAAATATCAATGTTTTAATGACATGAGGTCGGCTTGACTTTCTGAAAAAGGTTAACAAATAAGGAGGGAAATGTACAGTACTGTGCAAAAGACTTTAATCAACCGGTATTTTTAATCACTTGCTTCTAAGGAGATGTGTTCTTATAAACCAATTTAATGTGTTCATCAACCATCATGTATGTTTTCTGAAGATGGTTAGAAGTTCTCTTCAGACTTTAGCATCCTTTTACCTCTTTGTTTCTAGCTTACCATACAGGAATTTTAGAAGAGCCTCCTTTGTAAAAAACAAACAAAAGAAACAACAAAAAAATCTGTTGCAAATGAGATTACTCTTAAATCAAAAGGGGATGAACAAGCGTTGTTTCAAAAATACCAGACTAAATATCTCTGGGTACTTTACAGTACTACAAGCCTTTTACAAAGATGTTTTTGTCTTTCACTACAGCTTTGAAACACACTGTGGGTCAGGAGATAGAAAACTGTAAAAAGAATGTAATTCCTCAAAAGTTATCAGCTAATATACTCACAACCTGAGGATCTTGCATCACTCAATTTTTTGTCAAATATTTCCACTTTTATGGTCTTTCAGCTGTTTTCTTGGGTGGCTGATTCAGTAGTTAAGCTGGTAAACTCTCGCTAACAGATTTCAGCTTTCTGGGCCACCATCCTGCTGCACAGTAAAACTGTCTGTGCTTCTATTGGATCTGTGACGTTTTGATGACAAAGACAAGTTTGCTATAATATTATATTGACTTTATGTGCTGTAAAAACACTTTGTTTTGCCCTTATCTTAGAAAACTATGGAAATCAATACTTTCAGTCAAATAAAGTTGAATTAATTCCCACCAGTTAAAAAGCTGATTACATGTCATCTTAGCAGCAGACGTTTTATTCATCATAAAGTTGTATTTTTTTCATTTTCATTGCTTTAGCTATATACTTGGAAACCTAAAAACACTGGTATCTGTTTTTTTTTTCTCTTGGTTTTATTTGCTGAATGTCTTTGATATAACAGACCGCATGCAGCCTGAAATCCAAAGCTCCACTTGGTAAATAGGTTGCTAATTAAACGTCCGACTTTTCTTTGGCCTGTACCATGAATAAATACATTCTTCTAGGCTGATATAAATATCTACATTTGATGATTTGACACAGTGTTTCATTAATCCTTAGTCGAAGTTCATCTAATCAAAATCTACTAACTGGTTAGTCAATAATCAAAGCTTGGTTTTAAACTCATAAGGTGTGCTTTTTACTTCCATTACCAAGAAAGAAGTACGTTTCTGCACACGGACCAGCTTAGAAAAATTTGGAGCAAGCTGCCCGCTTACTCTTGCAAATTTTTGTATTACAAATTTTTAAAAACATAATAATCGAAGGGCTTTAGTGAATTAGTCAACTACAAATGCAGCCTTTGTAAAAAGCAGCTTTCATCCATCTTGAATGAAAATGTGTACCATCAACACATGCACCTGCAGGAGAATTAGGTGCAAATATCTTTTCCAGCCCAAACTGCAAGTTTGCTTTCTTTAACACACAAGTGCTAATGATTCTCAGTAGAGGTATTTAACATTTCATTCATTGCGTAAACATGTCAAAAGATGCCATCATGAACTTAATATAAGTGACGAAAAA